CTCTGTAGTTATTTTTTGGTCTGATCCTTCCTGTAAGCCTCTGTATCTGCTGTTTCCTTTGTCCCCTCAGAAGAGGTTATTAAGAAGGGATCATTGATTTCCCCTATTTTACAAATCCTTTCCCAACTCTTCTTCTTATTCTCCTTCTTAAAACTTCCATACAATGTATTGACTCAATACAGATTTTATTTTCAAGTTGAATTAATTTGAATTGCTGGCCATCCCCACTCTCCAGCATGCATCCTGCATCTGGCCTGATCTTCCCAAGTGGACAGCAGACTTTTCAAGGACAGCAACTATGCGCTAAAACTTTAGGGATCCTATTGATACTTATGTAGTAAATCATACAGTGTACATGCTTAGGCATTATGAGATTTACAACTAGCAGGAAAAAAAACTAGCACCAAAAATATAATAAAAATACTCTACTTATATAGTGCTTCTGTATTATAAAATATTGGGGTTTCTTCCCAAGTCATGGTTTCTCTTTATCTAAAAATTACCCTGAAAGCCCAGCAGTAGACACTCAGCAGCTGTTTAAACCATGTGACCTCCACCCTGAGGCCATTGCTGATTTGGATCATGGCTGGACATGTGATTGAAGATGTGTCAAGGATGTTCTCCTCTTGCCAATTTAGAACTGGAATTCAGAAATCACTAGTCACTCTATCAGGGTCAGGATTAAAGGTGAGGTCAAAAGGTACCTAGGTAGCAAAAATTTACTGGCATGACCAAGCCCTGAAGTCCTCCTGTAACTTTGGACCCTGAGAGTCCCTCTTGCCTCACCCTATTCCTGGTCCTGGACTCTTTGTATGTGGCTGAACCCACAAGATTCAGAAGCTATGTTCAGATGATCACAGAAAGCCAGTCTTGAGGTGCAGTGTGGAAAAGTGAGGGGAGAGAGAGACAGGGACAGAGAGAAATGTGGTTGTTCTTAGCCTAAGAAACCCCTGGGGAATGGGTAGCTCATTTAGAAGGTCAGGGGTTACCGTATTTCCCCATGTATAAGACACACCCTTTTTTGAAAAATTTGGGGTCTAAAAACTGGGTGCATCTTATACAGTGGTTGTAGATTTTTTACTTGCATTTCCTGCTTTTTCGCGCTTGTTGTCTTTGCGCTCATTGTTTAGCACTTGTTACCGGTATATTACGTAGGTTACGTTTTGCCACATTCTGCCCAGAAATGGCTCAGAAAAGATTTTCATACAGTGCTGAATTCAAGTTAAAAGTGATCCAGTTTGCAAAAGTGAATGGAAATTGTGCTGCTGAACATAAGTTTGGTCCTCCTCCAACTGAGAAAACAATCCGAGACTGGCTATGGGAAAAAGAAACCCTACTGAAAACACCACGGCAGAAGGCCATGAGAGGCAATATATGAAGACAGTGATTCGTTATCAGACACAGATGAGGACAAGCTAATGGTTGGGAGTTTTGAGTGATGAGGAGTTGTATGAATTTTATGATGAATAGAACTTGAGTTCAATAACTTTATGTAATACATTTTTTTTCAAATTTTAGGCCCAAAAATTAAAGTGCATCTTATACATGGGAGTGTCCTATACACGGGGAAATACAGTATGTAGACACATGTAATAGGCAAGAGCGAAGTAAGGAGGTAGGTTTCAGAAGACTTCAGTCTGTGAGAGAATCGATCTTAGAGCTAGAATTTTGTTTTGAGGTCTCAGCACTCAGCTGACTATTGAATGCTCGATGTTTTGTCTCCAGTTTTTCTGGAGCTCTGTTGCAGTGCAGCTGTGCAGCCGTCTGTCCTCCTGCGCTTAACCCTAAACTGACCCTTTTGAGGACAGTGCTCATACACCTGTGTCTCCCTGTTTGGCTCCAAAGGATGGCCGGTTAGTCAATGATGGGTAAGATTCCTTGTGGGAGGAACAACCTAAGACAGGCATGGTCGTGTGGAGGCNGGAAAGGGCCTTCCCCTGTGAGCAACAAAGAAAGGAGACAATGGGATCAGAAAGAGTGAAAAGGGGGTCAAGTAGACAGCCATGTAGATAGAGGCCTAGCAAAATGAATTTCACCTTCACACACAAACACACAATGGCACGCTAGCTTGACTGTATTATGGGAAATACTAGTTCTCCAATAATTTGATGCCATGTGTTTTAGTTTTTACTTCCATCAACCATGTTTTCTCTATCACCAAAGATCAATCTCACCTGGTGGGAGAAAAAGGGCTCCTCGCACACGGCCTTCTCGGATCTGAATCCGCTGTGTCCCAGGGCAGGAGTACCAGCGCTGCACCACCTGGCTGACCCTGGGCTTAACCAAGGCTGAGTCGTAGAAGCAAACTGAGTCGTATAGGTCCAGAGTGACCAAAAAGGGGCTGTTCATCACATCCCTCTTCAGCAGCCTCCCAAAAACCGTCTCAGGCTTCAGAGACCAAAAGAGGCCCATCGGATGGACCCCCACGTAGTCGCCTCCAAATGAAGGAGCCTGCTGCAGGTCCAGCTCACCAGCTTCGTTAGACCTATAGAAAGCTTTGGACCGGTACAGTTTTCCCTTCTCATCCTTCAGAGATGCTGTAAGGGTCACCAACTGCAACGGGGGCAGGCCTGTCGCTCGGATGTGCACTGGCTCATCTGCAAGGGCACTTGCGGGGGTAGCTGTCAGCTGGAACATTGGCGACTGGCAAAGGGGCGGGTGGTATTTCCTGCCCTGCGGTGGAAGAGGGGATTTTAAGTTGGAGATTTAAATTCTGATCAAAGTGAACTGACATCTTGAGATGATTAACCATAGATTAACCTTGGGAGAACTATGGGGTGGAGCTGGGCCCCTTGTGAACTCTCTAGTCCTGACTTCCTGTTAAGCTTTGTGGTAACTTCTGGGGGAGGGATTCAAATAAATGCTTACATTAGTTCTGGCCAAGTTGGACTTCTAGAGACAGTGCAAAGTATGCAAAACATTTGGAGGAGTGAGAAGAGGACACGCAGAGAGTACCCATTATTCTCATTTTACCTAGGAGGAAACAGGTTAAGTGATATGCTTAAGGTCTCATAAATAATGAATAGTAGAACAGGAAATTCAGGTTAGGTCTGACATCACGACCTCCTGTCTTAGCCATTTTAACAATGCAGTAAATCTCAGTTTTGTGGTTTTAAGTTGAACTTCAATTCCTCAATTGAGATAATACTCATGTGACCAATTTCACAGGTGCTTGTTAAGACTGGAAAGGGTAATAGATGATAAAAGGTTTATAGGAAGGCTTAGTGCTGCTTTTCAGACCTCACACCTACCTGGGGTACAGTTACATAAACAAGAAATATATTGCAGTGGTGTTTACTTTTTTAATCTCTAATCCCTCCCTGCCTTTGTAAGATTGACTTGCATCTCTTTTCACAGTTCCTATTATTTGTTTTTTTCAAGGGAAAATAAAACTATGATCTTGTGTCTGCTTTTATGCCTTTCTAATGGAGTGATAAGTGTCAGTGTTTGTAATAAAGAGGCTGCAATATACATTTGATCAGCCATTTCTTACTCTGCTCAATTATGAGGAAAATTTGGGTGTTTCTTATCCTTCCTTCCTTATCCCTTCTTTCTGTCCTTCCCTCCTTTCTTCTATACCTTATTCCACAAAAGATTTGAACCTGTTTACAGAAAAACAGATACAGATTAAAATAAAGATAAAATAGGATCTAGGAAAAGATGAACTAGAGTCAGAGGCACTGGTCAAAAAAACCCTGAAACGCCAGATGGCTCCAGTTCAGATCCCTCATATGAGGGCCAGTGACACTGCCNTATGCTTGACTTGGAGCTGATGGGTCCTGGAGAAACACACTGTTCCCCATAATCCCCAATAAAAATATTTTTAAAAACAATAAAAAATATACAAAATTATATAATGTAAGTTTTATGTGACACAGGAGCCCTCATAAGAAATGAAGACACCCCACCCTCACCCCCGCCCCAACAAAAATGGTAAACCCTACTTGCTTTTACATTAGGTTAAACCAGGAGAGGCAATTGTGGAAAAGTAAGCTATGTAGTGCTGACGAAAAACATCCAGCCTAAGAGAAAACTTTTAAGAGTTTGTTTGAGCCAAACTGTTGACAATTGCCGAGAAGCAAAATCTTGGATTGAGAAAAAGCTCCAAAGAATGGCAGTTTTACAGCTTATTTTATACATAAAATCAAAGGAGGAAGGTTACATGCAATCCATTGGTGATAAATGAAGGGGGTAGGAGAAAGCAAAGCGGGGAAATCTCTGGGATTGGATAAAAGTGAATTGGAGACACAGGTACTTAATCACATAGGTGGATGCAGGATAGCTTACAGCTTGCTTTTTACAACACATAGAGATGGTAATCAGGAGACAAGCATAATAATGAGGAATTTTGCAGCTTCCAGCTCTGGTCCTGGAAAAAGGATTAAAGATGTTATCTTAGGTACAAAAAGACAACGAACAGGCCCACTGAAAAAGCACAGATTAACTTAATGAGGAAGCTGAAGATGTGACTTTCCACTATGGCCCACTTAGTTAAAAATTTTGTGTGTGTGTGTTCATGCCATCTTATTTTCAGTCTCCTGAGCTTGACAGGTTTGACATGTGGCCCCTTTACCATCCACAGTGGGGAGGCTAAAGGAAGATAAGAATTATTTTAACAAGGCCTGTTTGCATAGACTTCTCTCGATCTCAACTTCTGGTCTTTGATGATAAGACTGTTACTTTCCTTCTGGTACAGGGAGGACATCTTCCATCTGGGAGTTTTATCTCCTGCTTTCAGGAAGAAAAAGGGGAGGGTCAGAGGGCCCTTTTTGCATTTGCTGTTTTTTTAAGTGCTAATAAATTTTATGTCAAAGAGGCATATTTGGGGGTGACATAGTCTGGTTTCCCTCAAAGGAGAGGGAAGAAATGCAGCAAAAATAAGTGATTCTGGAATGAAGACTATTCTAATGGGTTAAAGTCACCAGGTGTACTTAAGAGATTTCATGGAGCCTCCACACACCTGCAGCACAATCAGTGGGAAATGGTGACTCCCTTTCAATGCTGAGACCAAAAAAGAAGTGTTAGTGAACAGACCAAAATTTATTTAAAATTTCTAGAGAATAGAGTTTAACAGCCNAATAAAGCTGAGCAAAGGTCACCCATAAAAATTAAAATGTCTAAATCAACACCCAAAAATTCCATTCAGTTTAGGAGCCTGTTGCTTTTCTCTCTTCATCACAAGCACTTCCTTCCCCTCCTTCCAAGCAATAAATCCTAGAAAAAAATTTCATGAGTCAAGAAACAATCTCTCCATAAATAACGCTAGCTGGACTCTGACTTTTATAACCAAGATTGCTGAGCAATAAAGCACCAGGGATGGTAATTGCTGGTCTCTGGGAGAACTGTGTTACCTGCTGAGATGAGAGAAAACACACACAGCAAAATGAAAGCAGCCTTCCCCAATGCCCTGCCGCTGAAATGAGAAAGAAGCCCTTCTCTGACGACAGCCCTGATTGACCACTTACCCTGAATTAAGCGGCAGGAAGCAGTCTTGAGCAGGATGGCTTGCTGAGCCAACTAGCAGCACCCAGACACTTGCCTGTTGCTCGCTAATTTGTATCACTCAAAACACTCCAGCTTTCTGTTCAAAGTTCAAATTGTTTGCCAGAAACCGTCAGCAGCTCCTTCTTTTGCAGCCCCAAGTGACAGGGTTACCAGCATTTGCTGCCACCGGGACCAGGAAGAGGCTGGGTCCAGCTGATGTGATCAGGGCAACTGTTTCATAATGGAGTCTCGGATTTCATCACATGGCTCTGGTTTTAAAGACTTTTCCCTGGACTCCTCCTCTCCACTCCTGGCTCTAGTCTCCTTTATTTCCGTTCTTTCCAAATCTCCTCCTCTAAGTCTGTGGTCTCTTAGGCAGCTGCCTTTTGGGTGACTTCTAAGAAGCTGAGACCCAAATAGCCATCTTCAGAGCAGTGTAGGTTACAGATTCGCCCAGGGCGTCTCCAGAAGACTCCTGGGTCTTGGCACCCGGAGATTCTGACTTGATAGGTCTGGGGTAAGGTTCTAGGATGTGTCTTTTTAACAGATGCTGATCCATAGCCCAGTTAGCAAACCACTCTTCCCAGAGACAATAGAAGCTTTCCCAATGCAAAAATGCCTCCTCAGGACCAGAACCTCTGAAATCTGCCCCATTGTTCATCCCATCAGTCAATGTCCATTGTCAAAATGTACAAATGATCCAACCTACAGCTTTTAGACTGTGCTTACAGGTTGTGAATTCTTTGAAGGAGGGGATCATGTCTTTNATGAGGCTGGAGACCATTGGCCCCACACTTATTTAACTCTTGACTGCTGTTTCTTTTATTTCTTAACCCTTCGCCACCCCCTCTCAGTCTCCCATTGCTCATGTCGTGCGGGACGCGACAGAGCTCCTGTTAAATGTGTTCATTTATTGATCCTGATTTGTACAAATTCCCTGTCATAGTCATTATCATCCTATGTTTAAATTTCTTTTGCCATTTATACCAAGTTATATGCAAAAGATTATAGTGAAACTTCCTATAAGAAGCAGGAGTTCCCCAAGAGGATGATGTGGTTTTGACATAAATAAAACCATGCTACAAACAAAAAGAGACAGAGAGACACACAGAGAGAAAGAGACCACTTCATCAGTCAACAGTGTGTGCTTGTGAATGGCATCTTAGGTTTCCTGAACAAACAAAGACTAGGAAGGGGTTATAAGGCCAGTAAATCTATCATTATTGCCCTTGGAATATGGGCTAAATTAAGTCATCTTCTGTCACAAGTTGACAGGCAAAGTGTAACCTCATGAATATTTGGTAGGGATTCAAAGCAAAGTTTGACAAATTGCCTTTTCAAAAATTGATTGGAAGCCTAACAGACCTCAGACTTATCAGACCTATGTGTCATCTGTTCCTTATATAGCACTCCTTTACCAATTCAGTGGAAACAAGAAAAGTCTAGAATTAAAATGCATACAACATATGTGTGGGTGTGTGCACACACACACAAACGCCACACACACACACACACGAAGACTTTGTACCTATATACCAAGGATCCTCAACTGGGGTTCTGAGGAGCCCTGAGGTTCTGCAAAATGTCACTAGGGTTTCTACAAGAGCTTTAATTGGGAAAAAAAAATAATGNCGAAGGCATAATATTTGCTGGAGTACAATGGGGAAAAGGTCAATGGAAAAGGCCTTAAGGCACACAAGATTACACGATAATGACTCACAACATAGCAGTTTACTTCCTTAAAAATTATCAACCCGATTAGGCGGCTCAGTCTAACTCTCTGAAGGCTGAGTCCCTTGGTCTCGCACTTAAATCTTACTTCTGTCTCTGTCTTTGTATTCAATCTGCGTCCCCCTCTCTGTCCCATTTGCCTTTGCCACGCAGGACGTGACAATGACTTTTAGAAGCACCTCAGGATGGGGACTGGTTGCCAAGAGACCCATGCAAGAGATTAGAGTGTTGGAAATTTCAGTCCCACCCCTAGGGAGGAGAGGGGGGCTGGAGGTTGAATCAATTGCCAATGATTTCAGCTTATTGTGGCAATCATGCAATGACCTACTCCTACATTGAAACACAGACAAGGCAGAACCCCCAAAAGAAGCTCAAGAGATTATTTTGAACATTTTGAGAAAATTGAAGTGATTGAAATCATGACTGACCGATGCTGTGGCAAGAGGAGAGGCTTTGCTTTTGTAACCTTTGATGACCATGACTCTGTAGATAAGACTGTCATTTAGAAACACCATCCTGTGAATGGCCACAACTGTGAAGTAAGGAAAGCCTTATCTAAGCAAGAGATGGCTAGTGTTTCATCCAGCCAAAGAGTTCAAGTGGTTCCACAAACTTCAGTGTTGGTCATGGAGGTGGTTTCGGTGGGAACGACAATGTTGGTCATGGAGGAAACTTCCACGATCGAGGTGGCTTTGGTGGCAATCGTGGTGGTGGAGGATATGGTAGCAGTGGGGATGGTTATAATGGATTTGGTAATGATGGAAGCAGTTTTGGTGGTTCTACAATGATTTTAGCAATTACAACAATCAATCTTCAAATTTTGAACCTATGAAATGTTGAGGACTAGCCCTAGGCTGGGGCACCCTTCCCCCCC